CGTGTCCTGATTAAATAGAGTTCAAACACCAAGGGCTGAAGATGCAGACAAGAGCCCTAACAAAGTAAGAAGAATCCACCCTAAAAAGAAAAGGTACAATAGAAGAAAGATCAAAGCCCAGTCCCAGGCTGAAAGTCATGTCTGCAATTGACAGGTGATCAATCACCAGACCTGGAGGCAGCGTGACACAGCAAGACCTATTAAACTCTGGATTCAAACTAAAGCCTACAAAAAGAATGGGTGAGATGGAAAACTTTGGAGGAGGGTAACATTCTGCTGCCAACATGGAAGGGCATCGGTGCATGCTCAACAGAGACCCAGCTCGTCCTTGTGCCCGGCTTTCCTGGCCAGTTAGCCGCCACAATCTACGAACCCAAGCTGCAAACTCAAGCCACAGACTCAAGCAGGACTGGTAACTATGCAGCAGCTGCAGAACATCTGGTGTGTGTGTGTGTGTGTGGGTATTAGGTATAATGTGTGTGTATAAGGATTAAAATATTAGTTATTGGTCATAAATCAAATTATCATAATAAATGTGGCATCTTTATCTTGTCCCCTTTAATAAGATCCTGCTAATTTTTATTGGTATAACACCTGTGCCCATCCCAGCCGCTCGCCATCCTTGTACCAGGAGAAGTCCAATCCGCTATAGGCGCTGGTGTCCAGCCGGCACGGGGTGGCCACCACATGCACCACAGTGGGGGCTGCAGAGGAAGCGGAATGAGATATGAGCTAATGAAGCCCCCGTGGGACGGCAGCTGGGGACTTAGGCGCAGCATGGCATGGGGCGGAGAGGCTCCATGGCTCCACCCCCAGTGCTCTAGCCCCGCTCCCATATCCAAGTGGTGGCATAAGGAGGGCCCCGCCCCCTCCCATTTGTGAGGTCCCGTATCCCATTCCCCACCCCCAGCACCAGCCAGACCCCTGCCCTCAGACCTGATTAGAGTCAGTGCCTGATAGAGGGGAAAGGCCCCCTGACCCATTCCCTGCCCCCCAGCCAGCCCCTGCCCTGGGGCCTGATGGGAGCTGGCACCCCCTAGAAAGGGAAGGCCCCGTACATAATGCAACTCACCTGTGGCTGGAGGCTGGGACCCTTTGGGGAGGCACCTATTCCGGTAGCCCTGCACCCGGCACTCCAGCGCCGCCCTCCGATGCTGCCAGATGATGCGCATGCTCAGCTCGCTATTGCTTTTGCCAGCTTCAGTTTCCTCCAGGATCCGCGCGCCGGCTCCGTCGTACCAATGCAGGCCGGAGGAGGCGCAGCGCTCGGAGATGGAGCAGATCAAGTTGCCGTTCAGGGCTCTGGGGGCCCTAACCATGCTATATTTGACCCTGCAGGGATGTTCTGTGTAGGGTGGGTAAGGGGGGAGCCAGTCACTGCTGGGGGCACGGCCATGGGCACAGCCACCTCCAGTCACCAGCCACTGCCCCTTCTTTGAGAGCGGCCTCAAGACCAGGTGGGGGTGTGACCCAGGCTCCCCTCCCAGAGCTGGGAGAGAACCCAGGAGTCCTGGCTCCCAGCACCCCTGGCTGTGACCACTAGATCCCACTCCCCTCTCCGAGCTGGGAGAGAACCCAGGAGTCCTGACTCCAGTTTAGGCTTCCTCTAACTACCAGACTCCACTGTTTCTTCACAGCTCTGCAGAGTGGTCGTTTGATTTGAGTGAACTGTTATGAGAGGTGTACAGCAACCGTCCTTGGGGATGGCTCGATGGGCGCTGAGGTGCAGTCACCCCTAGGGTGGGACAGCTGGGGATCAGCCACACATAACGCCACACCGGGCCAGGCTGGGTTGTTGGTGAACCGTTTCTGCAAGAGGAGCCGGGGATTACCTGACACCGTGAGGCACACGGCTCGGGGGCTTCTCCAGCTTTGGCTCTGGGTCTGGAACTCAAAGGAGTAGGCGCCCCCGTCGCCGAGCGCCAGCGGGTTGAGGCGCAGGGTGCAGTCGTGGTGCAGGTCTCCCAGGAACTGGGCGCGCTCGGCCTTGTCATAGCCCTGCCCCGCTGCTGCGGTGAGCTGCACAATTCTCTCCTTGTCCCGGCTCCAGGTCACGGCTCTGACGAGCTGCCCCTCGGGGTAGGTGTAAGAGCAAGGGATCATCACGCATGAGCCGCTCCATCCGGTCAGGGGGCCCACGGGCAGGGTCACCCCCCAGTCCTGGCAGCCGGCATCTGGAGAGGAAGCAGCACCCTGCTATCTGCAACACCATGCTCCCTAGTCCTGCCCTGGGACATCGGGGCCAGCCCTGACTGCCAGAGGAGAGCCCCCCCTCCCCCCGCTCTCTGCAGCACAGCGCCCCCTAGAGGTTGCAACTGAACCCCAGACGTTCCAGATGCCCCCTGCTGGATTCCAAGCATTGGCAGGTGGAGCCGTCGCCATGACAGAGTCTCCCAAGTTCCCGGCTCCCTGTTCATCCCCGTTACTGCATCCCAGCCCCAGCGCAACCAGAACCACTCACCGGTCAGGATGGAGAGGGCCAGCAGCAGCAGGGCCTCCATCTCCTCCAGGGTGAACACTGACCTGGGACCTACAAGAAAAGGGAACTGGATTTGGGCCCGGGAAAGGTTCCTATGAAAACGTTTTCAGCACAAAGGGTGTCCCAGAAAGGCTACGGGTTGCAGAGAGAGGCTGGGCTGTGGGGTAAGGCAGGAGATCTCAGATCTAGTCACAGCTGGAGCCCGATGTAGGAGTCGCATATTCATTCTCTTGATTACTTCAGAATTCCCAGTGATCCCGGTGAGGTTTGACAGGTTTGTGTCCGCAGGTCAGGCCCAGAATTATGGAAACTGGGGTTCAGCTGGGAGCCCCGATGGGCACAGCTGTGACACTCGCACTTGAAGAATTATTAGCACATTTAGCAAAGTCACAAAGGCTCCAGCCCAGCGAGGTAGATAGAGAGACAGCAGCGTGTCCCTCTGAACCGTCCCGTGCAGAACAATCCAGTATCTTCCTCCTCACCATCACCTTCCTCGTCATCACCCCGGCCGTCACCCCGGCACTTCCCAAGGGCTACATCGCGCTCTTCTCCTGCCCGCAGGCTGGGATGCGATTTGTACATGACGTTACGCTGACATCACCCTGCCTAATGCCTGTTCTGTAGGGGTGTCTCCCCTCTTCCTTATGTGTATCTCCTCCCACTACCAGTGCTGGGGGCCCTTCTCCCATAGGTCATGGCTCTCTGGTGGTCAGTCAGCTGCCGATGGTCCCATGCTATACTATCCGCAAGCTGGTGTTAGTTCCTGTTCCTGGTGTCGTTGTGGACAAAGCTCCCCCTTAAACGCTCTGTTCCCACGTCCCCAAAACTTAGGGGTCATGGTTGGGCCATTTATCTGTGCCAAAGTTCATAGGCCCCAAGCCTTATGCTAACTGCTGAGGCCAGCGTCTCACAGGAGACAGGCCTGTGGGTTGCTTGCATTACTGCCCCATCAAATAAATGCTAAATCTAGTTCTAGGGGCTACACAACGCTGCCACAGGGCCCCATGTGAGCACGAGCAAGCCATTCCGCTCCATGCCTCAGTTTCCCCACCTGTACAAGGTGGATACAAATCCTACTTTTGTCTCTTTAGCCTTCAATTGTTTTGTGGCAAGGACTGTCTCTGGCTGTGCGTGGGCAGCGCCTGGCACAAAGGGGCCCTGATCTCAGCTGGGGCAGGGCCTGTCTCTCGCTGTGTGTCTGGGCAGTGCCTGGCACGAAGGGGCCCTGTTCTTAGTTGGGCCACTAGACGTGACCGTAACACATGTGGTAAATTGTAAGAACAACCGCGCGGTGTTTAGCTTTATTCAGCATCGCAGCTTCCTGCCTCGCCGAGGAGAACTGAGACGCTCTCAGCCCAGCTGCTTACTGCTACGTTCATTGATCTGCCCATCTTAACGCCAGAAGGGACCGTGGTGCCCAGGCAGTCTGCCCAGCCTGGAGACCTCCCCTCAGGGATCCCGGCCTCCAGCCCAGAGCTGATAGTCGAGCTAGAGCAGTGCTTTTAGGGACATCCGATCTCCATAGAAAAACTCCAAGGGCTGGAGACTCTGCCCTGTCCCTGGGGCAGTGATTCCCAGGGTCAGTTCCCCTCCCTGGGGAAAATCTGCCCCTTATTCCCAGTCTCAATTTCTTTCGCTCCATCCCCCAACCGTCAGCTCTCACTCTGCCCCTGTCTGTTGGGTTAACGAGCCCTCTGCTCCCCGAAACCTTCCCCCCACCAGCAGGGAGGTGCTGACAGACCAGGATCTTGTCCCCTCTCAGCCTTCTCCGGGTTAAACTCACTAGATCGAGCTCCTTCAGTGCTTGGCTCTCAGGCAGGTTTTCCAGCCCTTGGATCGTCCCCGTTGCTCTTCTTTGACACCTCCCCCATTTCCGGACACCCTGTTTGACGTGCGGCCCCCCAGAGCTGGGCGCAGTCTTCCCAATATCACGTCGAGCAGGGATCACTGCTCCTACTCGCTATTCCCCTGCGTCTCCAGCCCAGGGTCACACTCACCCTCTTAGCCAGAGCATCGCCCACGGAGCTCATGGGCCATCTGGCTCCACCAGGACACCTGGGTCCATCCCAGAGTCGCTGCTAAGCAGGGTACAGCCCCCCAGCCTGGACATGATTGGCTCACCCAGTGTCCCAGGGGGCTGGCCCCCCACTGTGATACACCGTTCTTCTAGCTGGGGCCTTCTCTCTCTCCCCTACTGGGGCCAGAGATGTCTCGGAAGATCTGATGTGACACAACAATTCTAAGAACAGGATCTCTAGAGAAGGCGGAAGGGGCCAGCGATTATCTGCTGTCTGGATCTTGCTAGTGGTGAAAGCAGGCCTCCTGGGTTCTTTATCCAGCTTTGGGAGGGGAGCGGGGTCTACAGGTTAGGGCAGGGGCGGGGGCTGGGGGCCAGGACTCCTGGGTTCTCTCCCTGGCTCTGAGAGGGGAGTGGGGTCTCATGGTTAGAGCAGGGGGACGGGTAGTCAGGACTTTGGGTCCTATCTCTGGCTTTGGGATGAGAATGGAGGTCCAATGTATTCCCACAGTATTCTTGCCAGCAAGTTAAAGAATTATGGCTTGGATGAATGGACTATAAGGTGGATAGAAAGCTGGCTAGATTGTCGGGCTCAACGGGTAGTGATCAACGGCTCCATGTCTAGTTGGCAGACGGTTTCAAGTGGAGTGCCCCAGGGGTTGGTCCTGGGGCTGGTTTTGTTCAATATCTTCATTAATGATCTGGAGGATGGCATGGACTGCACTCTCAGAAGTTTGTAGATGACACTAAACTGGGCGGAGTGGTAGATACGCTGGAGGGTAGGGATAGGGTACAGAGGGACCTAGACAAATTAGAGGATTGGGCCAAAAGAAACCTGATGAGGTTCAACAAGGACAAGTGCAGAGTCCTGCACTTAGGACAGAAGAATCCCATGCAGTATTACAGACTAGGGACCGAATGGCTAGGAAGCAGTTCTGCAGAAAAGGACCTAGGGGTTACCGTGGACGAGAAGCTGGATAAGAGTCAATAGTGTGCCCTTGTTGCCAAGAAGGCTAACGGCATTTTGGGCTGTATAAGTAGGGGCATTGCCAGCAGATCAAGGGACGTGATCATTCCCCTCTATTCGACATTGGTGAGGCCTCATCTGGAGTACTGTGTCCAGTTTTGGGCCCCACACTACATGTGAAAAAATTGGAAAGAGTCCTGCGGAGGGCAACAACAATGATTAGGGGTCTGGAGCACATGACTTATGAGGAGAGGCTGAGGGAACTGGGATGGTTTAGTCTGCAGAAGAGAAGAATGAGGGGGGATTAGATAGCTGCTTTCAACTACCTGAAAGGGGGTTCCAAAGAGGATGGATCTAGATAGTTCTCAGTGGTACCAGATGACAGAACAAGGAGGAATGGGCTCAAGTTGCAGTTGGGGAGGTTGGCTATTAGGAAACACTATTTCACTAGGAGGGTGGTGAAGAACTGGAATGGGTTACCTAGGGAGGTGGTGGAATCTCCTTCCTTAGAGGTTTTTAAGGTCAGGCTTGACAAAGCCCTGGCTGGGATGATTTAGTTGGGAATTGGTCCTGCTTTGAGCAGGGGGTTGGACTAGATGACCTCCTGAGGTCCGTTCCAACTCTGATATTCTATGATTCTATGATTCAGTGGGTTAGAGCAGGGGGGATTGGAAGTCAGGACTCCTGGGTTCTATTCTTGGCTTGGAGAGAATTGTGGGATCTAATGGTTAGATCCGGGAAGGGGGAAGGGACTTTTCCCTTGTAGGCGGCTGGGTGGAGTGAGCTGTGAGCATCTCAGACCTGTTCCTAACAAATGTGTCTGAAGCACAAAATCCACACCCCAGATGGCGTTAACCAGCCCCTCGCTCGCTGAACGGGCCATAGGGACTGAGCTCTCCTCTGCCCCCTAGAGGGAAGGTGAGCATTAGCGGGGGGAGAGGGGAGCGGGGAGGAGTATGGAGTACAGAATGGCTCAGCAAAGACCCCAGGGGGAATTCAGTCTCCATGGCACATGAGGCGCTCCTTATCTTTGTTCTGGC